CCAGCATTTGTTCCACCATGAAATCCAAGGCTATTGAACACAGTAGCATCAGACAGATCTCAGTTTAAATCCCAATTTGGACTCTTGCTAGCTGTGTGACATGGGCAGTGACTTTATCCTTTATCAAGGGCTTAGCCCAATGCCTGGCATATAGTAAGAGGGCTGAAATGGGCTGTCCAAGGTCACACAAGTGAGTCAGGGAGGGATCCTGGATTTCCTAATTCCGGAAGCCTTCGACAACCATCAGCTCCTGCACAAACAACAGCATTGCCCAACAGCCTAGAAATCTGGGTCTCTGATCATATCCAAGTACCACAGCTGATGATGTAATAGGTACTCGCCATGTGCTGGAAACTGGGCAGGCTATATGAAAGCTTTAAGGCATCTACAGATCGGCATAGGAAGGTCATCTCCTTGTTTGTGGCAGGCAAAAACACAATTACAAAACAAAAGTCTGGAGCCGCTGCTTATGTTTCCCACTGGTGACAATATTTCTCGTCCACATTTGTTTTCAGAAGGTAGATGAAAGTAAGACCACTGACCTGGCTGCCTTATTCCTGGCTTTAGAAAGGCTTTTTCGATCGGGAATGAGGGGGGGTGTGGGTCCTAGGGACGGAAGACTAAATGGAGTCTGGCCAGGGACAGCTATGAAAAAGAAGATGGGGGCTGGCAGTGGTCCCCACCGTTGCTCCAAAGAACTCCAGAACTCCAGAAAAGAATCCTCTCTTTGTGGCCCTTCAATCTCCTTCTTGGCTGGCATCCCTAGCTCGGGGCTGGTGTCAAGGCCTTAGGAAAACTCAGGGTAAGTGACCTTTCTGATGAAAACGGACCATTCCAGAAACTCACGTGACAGGAGTGCCTCTTAAAAACTGAAAGGAGGGCTTCCCTGGTGGCGCAGTGGTTGGGAGTCCGCCTGCCGATGCAGGGGACACGGGCTCGTGCCCCAGTCCAGGAAGATCCCACGTGCCGCAGAGCGGCTGGGCCCGTGAGCCATGGCCGCTGAGCCTGCGCGTCCGGAGCCTGTGCTCCACAGCAGGAGAGGCCACAGCGGTAAGAGGCCCGCGTACCGCAAAAAAAAAGAAGAAACTGAAAGGAAACAACAAATGAATGAACCAGCTAGAAGGCCTTCGTCATTCAAGTCCAACTACGAAAGCAGTCAGAAATGGCTAATCCAGTGTGTCCTGAATGCAGGGCTCCTGACGTGGAAAGGAATGGCAGAAAGAGCCCTCTCCAATTACGCCCCTGATTTATTAGATCTCCCTATGGTAAGTTAGGATTTGACAATGCAAGTGTTACCTTGTTTTAACTGCCATGCTTCCAGAGGGAGCAGCAAAAAGGAGCAATCTGAGCACCCAAGTCCTGCCCATGTAGACTGTCTGCCCTAATTCCAAGGATGCTGTCCCTCTATAATACCAGCCACACTGAGAGCCAAGAGCCCTCAAAGGATACCAAACTCCCTGTTGAGGAGCAAGCAGAGTAAAGAACAATGGGGAGCTGGATGTTCAGAAACAGGAATTGGCAATGACTCTGGTTACTCCTCGAGTTGCCAGACTTGATGGTGACCGACCCCAAAGGCAGAAGCACCAACATCCGGGGAGGGTGGAAAGTTACCTTTCAGAACCATCCTCTAAGGGACCAGAGGGCCAATAGCACTCAGTGACCTTGACCCCACCAAATCTATACATAAAGGAACTGATGTTAAAATGAACATTGAGGACAGCCTTAGGGCAAAGCAGAGGGGGAGTTCACACCTGCAGGATGGATGTGAGCAAAGGGAAGGGAGCAGATTCTCTTTTTCATCTGGGAATGGGATAGAGAAGGGGATAGATTCCTCATTCAGCCACAGTTCTATCTATGGCTGTGAGTTGCAGGGGTGAAAACCCCTTCCTTTTCCTTGAATCACAGCAGCATGGTACATCCCACAGCTCAAAGTCTGAGGCAAATGTACATTTGAAATCAAACACATAGGTACCTAAATTCTATCAGTGCACCTTTATCTCATGATGAAAAAGTGTAACCAGTGGCTCTCCTTCGGTACTTAACGGTAAACATTCTTAAATCCCAGGAAAGGAAAACTTCCCCAATACAGACATTCACACACACCACAGCCAGTGTGCTAACTCTTAGTGTGACTCAGTTTCCCTCCATGGAAGCCATAGTCAAAAGTACCACCTCCCAGCCCTTCCCCAGAAATCAGCTTAGACTTTACTTTTCAAATACAAAGCCTCTGACTTCTGAGAGGTGGTGGTGGAGGAAGCAGAACACCTGGTCAGTAAGGCTGAGTTTCTTCTTGCTCAGAACATCAGTATCCCTTCCGACATTCCCTCCTTAGCCAGGTGTTGCCACAAAGGGAGCTGAGAGTTTGACAAGTCAGAAATTATCCACACCTTAAAAGGACTGTTCCTGGAACAAAAAATAAAAATAACCCAAACCACCTTGTCTGTAAATTGGGGATGGGGGAGGAGTGCGGAGGAAAGTAAAGAGATACAAATTTGAAAACAGTCAGGCTGTGCCAGGGTTAGATTTCCCTTCCCTCAAGGACAGCCAGATCTGATATGGCTGCTGATAAGGTCAAGCGGCTTCACTTTACTGCCCTTACCCAGGTCTCAATTTATAACATCAGCGTCCCCAACATCATCAGAGACCCTTCTGAGAGCTTGGAGGGTGACTGTCACTGACATCCAGGCTGGATACCATCTACCAGAAAAAACCCTACTAGGAAGTAACTTGAAGGTATCCAGAGAGCAGAGGCAGACAGAAAAGCACTTGCTGCCCGCAAGGGCCTTTCTGATTAAAAACTTACACTTTTAAAACCAACACTGAGCTTTCCCTATCACAAATGCTGTAATGTAGCCCTTTCCTGCAAAATGACACCTTTCCCTTTAGAAACAGTATGTGAATCTGATACAAGTGAAATTAAACACAGTATAAGGCTCCCTAACTCATTTAACATCTTTCATTCAAGAACCCAAGGCACTTAAGTCACTTTATAAATGTAAAAATTCATGCCTCATCACTTTAAAAGAGGGAGTCGGAGGGAGTATCATTTTCCCATCTATGGTCAGTATATCTGAGTAACAGTCCATGGAAAAGCCCCTCTCTCACCACTGGAGGTGGGGAGGTCAGGCCTCTATATCATTAACCTCAGCTCAGAATAGCTTGGGGATTAACCCAAAGGAGAACTGAGCCATAATCAACCCTGCCCATTTAGAGGGGAAAGGGCCCTAGAGGTGGGGCTGGTGGTGCTCTCCGGTCTAGCGCCTGTATCTGACTTCAGCCACAAGGTCCAGGGCCATATAGAACTATAGCTCAGGGGACTTCATTTTTTCCTGCTATCCTTTACTGCTCCCTCCCTCCTGTACCTTTAAGTGACCAAAGTCAACACTAAATCATCTTGTAATTTCCCTCCAAGGACGAGATAAATAAGTTGGCCCACTCTCTACTGACTCCCCAGTTACTCAACTCTGTCCCCAAATATAAAGCCTAGGGGAGAAAGGCCAAGCCTCATCTCAGCCCACACCTCCATGCCTCTAGGGTGTCCTGGGAGGCCCACCCCTGGCCCAACCAGTCACAGCGTTATTTCAGTCACGGGAGCAGACAAGAGAGTCACCCAGCAGTTCAAACCTCCACCTCCACCCCCCCCAATCCAGTGCCTTCTGTCTCCACAGGCAAGCAGATGTAGCACTGCCTTGCAACCAGGGGGAAAACCCGACTCTCTTTTCTAAGAGGAAGAAAGGCAATGGGCAGTCCTGCCACAGGATGGAAGCCGGTGGTCACATGCAAGCCAGATCAGAGCTGGAGGCATCTTGTTCTTGGAGACACAAGGTCGGGGGCTGGGGACCTGGAAACTGGCCCATTTGTTTTCTAGAGAGAAAGACACTGTATCCCCCATCTCTGTCCCGGGAAGGCTATTCAGCCCTCCCCTTGACCCCTCTTCCTGGTTACAGCAAAGAGAAAAACCCAGGCCCCCTGATGACCCAAGTCTGAAGGCCAGAATAACAGCTCCTTTGCTACTGGGTGCTGAGAACGCAGGAGAATTGGTAAGCTGAGCCCCCAAGGTTATGCAGGCACAGCTCCCCAGGGTCCTGCTCTTTTCCTCCTAGGAGGGCTTGAAGTGGCATCAGAACAACCTGCCACCCTAAGCTCTGTACCTGAGGCAACCAAACAAACATACCCCCCAAGGAAACTGTGGAGAAAGAGGGAGACATAGTCCAGAGCAGGAAGGGAAGGGGATCAGTTTCTGACTGGGCATAGAAAGAGGGAAAGGAAGACACCTGGGAAAGAGGCCAATATCGCCTTCCCCTTGCTGTAATGGTCCCCATCCCAGCCCCACATCTCCCACAGAGGACCGGAGATCAGGGTGGGCAGATGGGGAGCTGGCAGCCAGGGGGCTGGGAAGGGGAGGACACCTAGGTGTGCAGTCCACCATCACCTAGTTTTTCTATGCACCCTGGAGAGAGGGTTCATCTTGGCACGGTTCCCTCCCCTTCAGAAAAGTCCTCAGCCTCAAACTCAGGAGGGTCCGTGGTTCCCACTCCCAAGCCTCTCTAGCTTCCACCCAGCCTGACGCCCCCTCCGCTCCCCCGAGGCGGCCTAGGGGATGCTCTCCGCCCGAAGGAAGAGGGGATGTCAACCTTCCGCTGCCGGAGATACCCGGCTGACCCCTTCCCCTCGCATCTCCCCAAGCCCCCTTTGTTTCAGACGTGAAAGTTGCCAGCGTGCACCCCCGTCCCCAACACGCCCCCCTGTGCGCCCATCCCCCTCAGGGAATCCAAGCCCGGGCGCACCATCTAATTTGCGGCTCGCTCTCGAGTCGGGGCACCGCTTCGAAACCGAAAGCAAAGAGGAAGCGGGATCCGGCAGCGCCCCCAGCCCGGTCGCCCGGTTTTCCCCATCACCGCACCATCGCCCGCGCCCCCCCGCACTCGGCGCTGCCCGCCCCGCGCGGCCACCTCTCCCGGCGGCGGAAAGGCCTCTCTGTGGGCATCGGGGGCACCTACCGGTGCGGGGCCGGGGCCGGGGCCGCGAGCAGGGGCAG